AGCAGTGCCCAGGCCCCTGGAGTGTCTCGAACAACAGCACCCAGCAGTGCCCAGGCCCCTGGAGTGTCCCCAGAAATACCAGTCAAGGTAATTTTCTGTTTTCACAATATAATGGTGGTGGTTATTACAACCTTGGACTAGCTCATTAAACCCTGTCCTAGCTTTCTTTCTGTTGCCATGATGAAACATTCTAAACAAAAGCAACTTTGGAAGGAAAGAGTTTATTTCAGCTTAAGCTTCTATCATTGAGGGAAGCCAAGGCAGGAACTCAAGGCAGGAAACTGAAGGCAAGAACAGAAACAGAGACCATGAAGGAACACTGCTTACTGGCTTGCTCCCCCTGACTTGCTCAGCTTGCTTTCTCATATAATACAGGAATACCTGCCCAAGGTGGCACCACCCACAGTGCTCTGGGCCTTCCCACATCAATCATTGATAACAACAACAACAACAACAAAAATGTCCTACAAACAGTGCCACAAGCCAATCTAACGAAGGAAATTTCTCAGTCTAGATTCCCTCTTTGGTAATTCTAGCTTGTGTCAAGTTGACAAAAACTAACAGCACACAAAGTAAACTCCTGACAGTGTGGCAATCATGTTTATAATCACAGTGTGCTCCTATGGGGGAGATCAGACACACAAGATTCCCCAGCAGCTCACGGGCCAACTCACCTGGCATACAACTGTGAACAGGAAAAATCCTGTCTCAGACACGTGAAAAGCAAAGACTGTCCTCCACTCTCCTTCGCTCACAAACATGCCAACATTCTTAGACTCATACACATGGGAAAATTTTTTTTAAATATTTAACATAATATAATCTTAATATATGTTGAACTGACAATCAAGTTACCAATTATCAATGTAACTGATTTTATTATCTGAAACAATCCATGAATAGTTTATAAAGACAAACCTGTGTGGCTCGGTTTTAGGTGGTTTCTAGTCTTTTCTGAAAACACTTGTAGCTAAACTTCCTTTATTTCTAAAGGAAGTGTGTGATAGTTGCTCCTCAAGTCCTGTGCACTTTTTGTCAAGTGCTGCTGTCATACTGTGAGTTACTACTCAGGTTACCTTGGCTTCATTTGCCAACACTAGAGAAATGCACATTATCTACTAGGTATGATTGGTACCAAATGACATTATTACCTATATATCCATTTCTTCCACGAACTGCTATACCATGCCAGCTATTGCTCAGATTTTTCTTTCACTCTTCCTAATTAGCTGTTTTAATTGTACCATTTTTTTCCTTTTATTTTACAATACCATTCAGTTCTACATATCAGCCACGGATTCCCTTGTTCTCCCCCCTCCTGACCCCCTCCCCTTCCCCCCAGCCCGCCCCCCATTCCCACCTCCTCCAGGGCAAAGCCTCCCCTGAGGACTGAGATCGACCTGGTAGACTCAGCCCAGGCAGGTCCAGTCCCCTCCTCCCAGACTGAGCCAAGCATCCCTGCATAAGCCCCAGGTTTCAAACAGCCAACTCATGCACTGAGCACAGGACCCGGTACCACTGCCTAGATGCCACCCAAACAGATCAAGCCAATCAACTGTCTTACCTATTCAGAGGGCCTGATCCAGTTGGGGGCCTCTCAGCCTTTGGTTCATAGTTCATGTGTTTCCATTCATTTGGCTATTTGTCCTGTGCTTTATCCAACCTTGGTTTCAACAATTCTCGCTCATATAAACCCTCCTCTTTCTCGCTAATTAGACTCCCAGCGCTCCACCCAGGGCCTAGCTGTGGATGTCTGCATCCAGATTCCTCAGTGTCTACGGCCATACCACCCTGAACATGCCCAATCTCGTCTAATTGTACCATTTTTGTTGTGTACATTCTATGCAGAAACCAAGACTGAAGACTGTACCTAAGCAACCATCTGAGGAAGAGGGTCACCATCAAGGTCCCAAAAAAGTAATGGTGTTAAAAGCAACAGAACCATTCACATATGACAATAGAGGGGAGAGATGGATGTTCCATGCCACAGTGGCCACTGAGACTGAATTCTTTAGGGTGAAGGTGTTTGATATTGACCTGAAGGAGAAGTTCATCCCAAACAATGTCATTACCATCTCAGATTATGTTGGTCGAAATGGGTTCATAAATATACATAGTGCCTCTAGTGTGTCAGAGGTAAATGATAACCAATTAATGAATATCCCAACTACACTGAGGCAAAGAGCCAATGCAACACCTAAAATCAATGATCTTTACTCACAAAGAAGAGGAATATTTGTGAATGGAGTGTTTATGGTGTCTAAGGTAAGCCACTGCATTATTTTGTAAAATTTCTTCTGCAATCTTAGATTTTCAGTCTTATCTTGACAGATTATCTTGGTTAACTTATTGCATGCCAAAATTCAAGGCCTCCTTGAGCAGTGTCGGGAACTAGGGTTTCTTGTTTTTACATGTGAAAAACAGTCTCAATATACTTCTCAGGGTACCATGATGAAAACTGCTTTAGAAAGAAATTTGCCAAGAGACTCTGGCATTTTTCAAGCAATACCATCTATTTGTGCCATTCATAGACATTTACATTAATACTTGTATCATTAAGATTTTGTTTCTTTGAGTCCTCCACCTCCTACTAATAACTTGATGGTGAATGAGACTTGACCTCCTAAAATGGGGTACAGGTTATAACAACCAGAATACAAACCAAAGCAAACTCTTCTGCCCCAGAATGCACCGAATCAGGAATGCACTGGGTTCTTTCTTTCTACAGTAAAGAAATATCTTAAGAGCAGAGCTGATGAAGTGGCCTGTGATAGTGAGGGCTAGCAGGTAAAAAGTAAAACTTCCTTCTTCCAGGTCCTTTCCTGTATGCTGCCATTAGGTGTGGCCTGGATTTAAAATGGGTCTCCTGACCTCAAATGGTCTGGAATTAGGATTAGTCTTTACACCTCAAATGATCCAGTCAAGAACAATCCCTCACCTATGTGTCCAGATGCTTGGGTTTTCGTTGATTCCAGATGTGGTCAAGCTGACAACCAAGACTAGCCACCACAGTCTATACTAAAGTTTGAAAAAGGTTTACAAATCAGGATTTACAACGCAGGATATATGATAATGTTTTGCTCCCCCCAGGTCCCAACTTTCAGCTCTGTCCTGTCAAAGCCAAGATTCTGTGGGCACCCTTCATTTCTCATAGATGTGACAGTGTCTGGCCATTTCCCAGAAGATAAATATTACTTTCTTTTGCAGAAAAATGAAAGGGAGGACTTCATTTACTATGAAATTCAAGATAATACAGGGGTGATGGAAGTGGTGGTCTATGGACGACTGACGAGTGTTGACTGTAATCCAGGAGATAAACTTAGACTCTGGTGCTTTGAATTGACATCAAACGAGGATAGAGTGCAGCTGAGATCTACGAGGCACAGTAACATGAAGGTGTGTGCTCTAGGGGAACATCCTCCTTCCTAAGAATTATGTTTTTAATATTATACTAAAATAGCTGGTGATATTTTAATATATGAAAATTCAATAGGTGGAAGGAAACAAGTTTTCCAGTTAATATATATAAACTTTTCTTTCTGTCCTTTAAAATATGATCATTTTAATCATAGAGAAGAATGGAAATTCAGAAAGATTCTCAAAAGCTGTTATGTTATGGGCAGGGCATGGTGGCTCACACCTTTAATTCTTCCACTCAGGAGACTGAGGCAGGTAAATCTCTGTGAGTTGGAGGCTAGCCTGGTCTACATAGTGAGTTGCAAGCCAGCCCAGTTCCAAAACAGCCAGATATTTCATCCTAAATTAAGTATGAAAGTATTGAATTTATTAAAGCATAGAGATTACCCAATAAAAATGTGGCTTTGATTAAGAGATGTCCTTCAAATTCTGGCTCCATAGTTTTTTATACTTACTAATGACATGAAGTAACTAAAGGTCCTCATCTACAACATAGGAATAATGTCCAGTGCTGAGGTTCACAAGCAGAACTCACAGCACATATATGCTTACAAGGATACCTGCAGCAAATTAGACCACAAAAATACCAGAATCCATGCCCTTGTCACGCTGACACCCCTGCAGGATTCATTGCATATTAAAGCAAGTCTAAGATTGTAGTAGAAACAAATGAAATATAGGGCTGACCTACTGAGTCATACAGTAATGTTATAGAGACCCCCAGTTCTCAGGACCATTGTCAACATTCTAAACCTCCTCATTGCAGCTGTACCAGGCATTCATTTTGCACATTCTTCCTGACCTTCTGTCCACTGAAAACCCTCCACTCAACCCTTGCTTGCCTTAGGTATTGCACCTCCTTCTCTCCCATTGCTCCGTGACACCTCATGATCTTCCACCTCCACTCATGCTGGGTAGGAGTAAAGAGCTCATTTTGTAGTCTCAAGTAAAGAGAAAAATCTGACTGCAGGGACAGAAAACCATTCAAAGAAGCAGGCAATGATGAAAAGCTAGGGGTGGCTCATAGAGACAAGGCAATGTGAGTAAAGGGGGAAGTGTGTGACCAGCTCCATCAAAACTAATCTGATGTCATCACTTCCTTCTTCAAGGTCATCAAGGCTGGGAGAGGAGAAACAACCTGCTTCCTTTATGGAACTTCATGAATTCTCATTATGGAGACTTGGACACTTCTGATGTTTACAGAGATAAGATCCAGTTCCAATTACAGAAAATGATCATACTTATAACAGATAAAAGTCAATTCTTTGCTTTTTTTATCTTATTCTTCTTACATTTTTAATTACATAATTTGATTTTATAATGCTTATACTTTAAAAGGAAAAAAAACTGTTAATCTGAATCAAGTACTTCTACAAACTATTCCATTTGTTATTTGCTTTAAAATTGGGTCTGCACCTGATCCCTCCTATTCCCATTCCTACCCCCCCATCGAGACCCCTCCCCCGTCCACTAGCTCCACCAGATATTTCTATTCTATTTTCCCTTCACAATGAGATTCATGTGTTCCCCCTTGAGCTTTCCTTGATACTTGGCTTCTCTGGGTCTGTGGATTATAGCATGGTTATCCTGTACTTTATAGCTAGTAGGGTAATATCCACTTGTAAGTGAGTATATACCATGTTTGTCTTTCTGAGTCTGGGTTATCTCACTCAGGATGATCTTTTCTAATTCCACTCATTTGCTAAAAAAATTTCATGGTGTCATTGTTTTTAACAGCTGGGTAATACTCTATTTTGTAAATGTACCATTCTTTGGTTGAGGGACATCTAGGTTATTTCCAGTATCTGGCTATTACTAATAAAAGTGCTATGAACATAGTTGAGCACGTGTCTTTGTGGTATAGTGGAGTGTCTTTTGGATATATGCCCAAGTTGGGGGGAGGGTGGAGGGAGAGACAACTAGTATTGGGGGACATATCTGGGAAGAGCTAGAAACCTAGTGTGATGGTTTGAAAGAAAATGGGTCCCAAAAGTGGTGACACCATTAGGAGGTGTAGCTTTGTTAGAGTAGGAGTGGCCTTGAAGGAGGAAGTGTGTCACCATGGGGGTGGGCCTTGAGGTCTCCTTTGCTCAAGCTATGCTCAGTGTAACACACAATTCACTTCCTGTTGCCTTCTGATCAAGATGTAGAACTCTCAGCTCCTTCTCCAGCACCATGTCTGCCTGCATACTGCCTTGTATCACTATGATGATAACGGACTAAACCTCTGAAACTGTAAGCCACCCCAATTAAATGTTTTCCTTTATAAGAGCTTCCATGGCCATGATGTCTCTTCACAGCAATAGACACCCTAAGTAAGACACCTAGTGCAATGGAAACTCTCAGGAATCTATGAGGGTGACCCAGCTAAGACTTCTAGCAATGGGAGATATGAAGCCTGAACTGGACTTCTATAACCATGCAAGACTTCCAGTGGACAGATTAGAACACCAACCCAGGCAAAAATTTTGAACCTACAATTTTTCCTGCCTAAAAGATATGCTAAGGTAAAGGTGAAGCAGAAATTGTGGGAGTGGCAAACCAGTAACTGGTCCAGCTTGAGACCCACACCATGAGAGGGAACTCACCCATTACACTGGCTGGAGGGCCAGAACCCAGGGGCAGGACAGCCCAGAGAACTAGGATAGAACCAAACATGACTGGAAAAGAAGACAATGAGATGATTCCTAATGACATTCTGCTATACTCATAGATCTGGGCCAAACCCAGTGGTCATAAGAGAGGCTTTACCCAGCAACTGATGAAAACAGATGCAGAAACCCACAGCGAAACATTAGGCAGAACTCAGGGAACCCTGTGGAAGAAGGGGAGAAAGGATTGTAGGAGCCAGAGGGGTCAAGGACACCCCAAGAAAACCAACTTTGGTTCATAGGAGCTCATAGAGACTGAACCAACAACCAGGAGTCTCCATGGAACTGACTTAGGCCCTCTGCAAATATGTTACAGTTATGTAACTTGGTCTTCTTTTGGGGGCTCCAAACAGTGGAATCAGGGGCTGTCTCTAACTCTGTTGCCTGCTTTTAGGATCTTTTCTTTCTACCAGGTTGCCTCACCCAGCCTTAATAGAAAGGGGAGATGCCTAGTCTCACTGCAACTTGATATATACCCCGGCTGGCTGATAACCATGGGAGGCCTTCCCTTTTCTGAAGGAACATGGAGGAGAAGTGTGTGGAAGGAAAGGTGAGGGAAGGGACTCTAAGAAGAGGAGGGAAGGGAAACTGCAGTCAGGATGTCAAAGTAAAAATAAACGAACAAATAAATAAATACAAAAAACTGGGTCTGCAGATCAGGGTGGGGTAAATATATTTCATAAAATATTTATGTTTTGGGTATAATATTTAAGGACAAAGCCTTGTTCATAAACAGACTGTGTCATCCTCAGAGAGATTAAACTATCATTAAAAAGCTACTGTGGGGTGTCTTTCTGTATGCTGTAAATATGTGTTGCTCCCATTGGCTAATAAATAAGCTGCTTTGGCCTATGGCTAGGCAGCTTAGAGGCAGGTGGGAAATACAAGCAGAGATACAGGGAGGAGAAAGGTGGAGTTGGGGAGATGCCAGCCCTGCCACCCAAGGAACAGCAAGATGCTAGGAGACTAGTAATGGCACAGCCATATGGCAACATATAGATTATTAGAAATGGGTTAATTTAAGATGGAAGAGCTAGCTAATATAAGCCTGAGCCATAGGCTATACAGTTGGTAATTAATACAAGCCTCTGTATGTTTACTTGGGACTCAGCAGGTATGGGACCTGGTGGGACACAGAAAAACTTACAATTACAAAATGCAGGTTGAGGCTGAAATCCAGCCCAGAATGCAATTGTCAAGACCAATGTTCTCAGGTAAGGTGCAGTCTTTTCTACGCTTTTTCCTAAGTCAATGTGAGTATATTATAGAGTTTAGCCATTTGAAATAAGAATTTCCAAAAGTGGATGAAAAGAGCACATAGTGCTATTGGCAACAGTAAAGAAATGTCACCTCCAATTACAGGGTGACATAAGGTCAGGGAAATCTTGAGACCACAAGGGACATGTCCTAGAACAAAGGAAAGAAAAGTAATTCAGAGACTAGGCCTTAGCCTCAGGGAAGTCTCCATGGAGTGTTGGTTCTCTTTCTCATCCCTGTGACATCCTATCTAGCAGAATCAAGGGAAGGAAAGAAAGGCTGGCCTTCGCTTACAGTTTGACTGTAGAGGAGTGTGAGCTGGCTGATCACAATGAAAATAAGTTACTCTCTTAGCAATTCTTTAGTGATACATACCCCAGAACATGTCCTGATACTAAAAGAGATGGCCTAATCCAGCCTAGACTGGTTTGAGTGCATGTACAATGACACAAACTATGACCTATTTACCATCTTATGCCTATATATAATTGAGTATGCATGCAAGTTATATGAGATTTATCATGAGAATGGACCTTTGCAGTGAACAAAATCTTATTGAACCAAACCTGTCAATTAAAATAGAGAGTAACCTCTGTTGTGTCCCTTGGACAACCAACCTCCTACTTCTCTTAAAGTCTGTAACAGTAATTTCCAGATAATTGTTATGCTGGAGTATCTTCATTTATGTGGCCTTTAATCCCTCTTGACTTCATATTCCTTCCTAACCTGCAATATCTCTTATCTTTACATAAAGGTTCCTGCCTAATTTGAAATCTGGATGAGCCTTCATTTCAATTCCTTGAATAAGAGGTCAAGAATCTGAACACAATAAGCTCTGATGTCTTAGGGTTTCTGTTGCTGTGATTAAACACCGTAACCAAAAGCAAGTTGGGAGGAAAGGGTTTATTTGGCTTACACTCCCATATCACTGTTCATCACTGAAGGAAGTAAGAACAATAACTCACACAGGACAGGAACCCGGAAGCAGGAGCTGATGCAGAAGCTATGGAGGGGTGCTGTTTACTGGCTTGCTCTTCATAGCTTGCTCAGTCTGCTTTCTTATAGAACCCAAGACCAATAGCCCCAGGATTGCACCACCCACAATGGGCTGGGACCTCCCCCATTAATCACTATTCAAGAAAATGGCTTACAGCTGGACCTTATGGGAGCATTTTCTCAATTGAGGGTCCCTTCTTTCAGATAACCTAGCTTGTATCAAGTTGGCTTAAAACTAGCACATTTGGTAACAAGGACTTAGCAAGAAATCTCAGTAAATTCCAAAGTCTTTATCTTTGGTTTCCCAACTTTCAGAACTATGAGAAATAAATATTTGCTTCTTACAAATTATCCCATCTAGCCGGGCGGTGGTGGCGCACGCCTTTAATCCCAGCACTCGGGAGGCAGAGGCAGGCGGATCTCTGTGAGTTCGAGGCCAGCCTGGGCTACCAAGTGAGATCCAGGAAAGGCGCAAAGCTACACAAGAGAAACCCTGTCTCGGAAAACCAAAAAAAAAAAAAAAAAAATTATCCCATCTGTGGCATTATCTTGTAAAAATATAAAGCAAAGAGAGTAGGAAAGAATGTATTTTCCACAATAGGTATGGACAGATTACAACAGATTACAGTTCCTGAGAATGGTCAAACCTTTAGAGCAACCTTCTTAATGCTGTGACCATTTAATAGGGTTCCACATGTTGTAGTGACCCCCAACCACAACATTGTTTTCTTGCTACTTCATAACTGTAATTTTGCTACTGTTATAAATCTTTATGTAAATATCTGATATGCATCCTCTGTGAAAGTGCAGCTCGATTACCAAGGAGTCGTTACCCACAGGTTGAGAACAACTGCTTTAGAGTTAAAGGTGTCAGATACCTCAGATCCAGGAACTTCAACACTAGACTCTATTAGGACTGAGGAATACCAACACCTAGATTGCCCTGAGGCTGTGATGCTAGGCTGTCTTCCCATCTCGTCAAGAGTTTAACACTTGAAAAGCTAAGGTTACTAATGTCCTAGGTCTACACAAGAACTCTACCTTACACAGCTAAGTGTCCTGATACCAAAGATCACCAGGAACCAATGCTTGCTACTGCTCCTCTGGCCTACTACATGATTATTACTATCAAAGGCAAAAAGATCCAGAAGTGCCCAAGACTAGAACTTGGAAGGCAACTTGATGCCCATAATTTCTATCCAGGTGAATCAGCTAATCCCAAAGAGTAGACCAGTCACCCAGCCATGGCATCATCCTGTTTGTAGACCAGCTAGCTGGTAGGCTCCCATACCATCATCCACTGATTGATGACATTTGCTCCATGCCTCCAGATCACAACAGTTCTGAGTCCTTAAACTCTCCAAAGAAAAGCACAGCCGAACAAGCATTATTTCAACCCATGATCTTAACCAAAGCTCAAAGCTTTGCCACTGTTCTCAAGACCCCAAGGCACCCTGTGCTTACCCATGAATAATGCAGAAACAGTGAGGAGGCATTAACTTTGTCATTGAAGGAGGGCAGCTTAATTTTACAATCAAGAGGGAGGATTGTAGCTGCAAGTTTCTTGGGTCCTGCCTAGCCCTGAGGTCCCGTTCCTCAGGTTCCACCTGGCGCCACAGTCCCTCACCTGCTTATAAAATAATCATTCAGAGGCTTAATATTAATTACCAATTGTATGGCCTATGGCAGGCTTCTTGTTAGCTAGCTCTTATAACTTAAACCATTCCTATTAATCTGTAAGCTGCCACGTGGCCGTGCGTTACTGGTCTGCTGGCATCTTGCTGTGCATCTCTCCTGCCTCAGCCTTTCTTCTCCCTGTCTCTGCTTGGATTTCCCACCTCCCTCTAATCTGCCTTGCCATAGGCCAAATCAGCTTTATTTATTAGCCAATGGGAGCAACACATATTCACAGCATCCAGAAAGACATCCCACAGCAGTTATTAGCCAATGGGAGCAACACATATTCACAGCATCCAGAAAGACATCCCACAGCAGAGGCTAATGCCAATTCCTTTCTATTTATTTGAGGTTGGAGCTTGGAGTTGCAGGTTTGTAACATTAGGCTCTGCAAGTCCAGGCCTTGGGAACTAATGAATGCGTAGATGCTACAGAAACGACTTAATCCAAAAGCTATTTCATCTCAGATCTTCTCTGAAACCCAGTCAGGTGCAGCTGGTAACTGCCACAGCCAAGTTCTCCTGCTGCTGTCTGCATCCTGAGCAGGAAGGAAAGTGGCTGGGTGACTTGGTGTTTCTGGTCTGAGGTTTCACCTTCATTTCACTTCAGAGGAGTGTAGATTCCTAGGGACTCACTTGTAAGTTTGTGGGACATGAAGATTTTAAATTTGAATCTTGCGCCTATGAAGATTTGTAAGGAAATCTTCCCGAGTGTAACAAACTCTCTTGACTTTTTTAAGTGTTTACAGGAAGAAAACTCATGAGTTTCACTACCTGAGGAAATGAAAAGCTATGAACGAGGTTAAGAGGCGATTTCACCGCTTTATCACTTCTCTTGCTGCAAAAAGCACAGGATAAGACACCCAGTACTGTTCTGTCTGTGCATTGACTTTAATCAATATCAGTTTTCTCATTCTTTCTGTAAATACTTCATTTCCTAAGAATTTCAGATTACAAATCCTCCAGTTCACTTTCCAAGAGATTTACTATTTTAAACCCCCCCCTCTCTCTCTCTTTCACACACACACACACACACACACACACACACACACACACACACACACACACACAAGAATTGCTTCCTACCCTGCAAACCTGGACACCACTGAAGAAATGTCTAAAGAGGTGAGTCCTGCCCTACTTTCTGTAGAGATTAGATAGTCCGTGAAATGCACAAGATTACAGGTGAAATCCATGCGGATCTTTTGGTTTTGAGAGAAGGAAGCAGAGCTGGTGCCAGCTACTCTTAGCAATGAACCCACAGTAGCTGGATTTGGACCCTCCTCTCAGGAAGATGGCAAACACCTTCATTCCTCCACCAGAGACGACAGAGCCAAGAAAAACACATTTCACACATTTCAGATTATAAAATAAACTTTTTAGAGAGATGAGTCTGAACAGGGTGGCTGGGCTGTCCTGAGTGATGGAGGGTTGGGGGAAGACAAATTAGTGACATGAAAAATTACCATGAAACTATATTCAGGGAAAACTGCATCAGGCCATTAAGCTGCATTATCTAGTATTCCAATAGTAGACAGCGTGAGGACCAGTGGACACCTGTGGTAGAAAATCTCTCAGACTCATAGATATTACAAACACAGTGTTTTAATGATTTCATAAGCACACTTAATGTTTTTCGTTCACTTCTGCATCAGGTAGAAAATGTAGGATTTCAGACATTGTCAGTTTGTGTCATTCTGATATTTAATTGTTTTGTTTCTTCTTTGGTTGTTTCTTCTTAGTTTTCTTTGTTTTTGTTTTCTGATGGTGAGCTGTAGGAAAGAGGAAGACAGTTAACTATAAATAGATATATAAATAATACATACTTTTAGAATATTCTGAAGACTATATCTTCTGTGGTATGTCCGTCATGTGTACTTGTAAAGAAATTTTTAAATGTTGGTTTCAGAATTGTATGTATGTTAAATCAATATTGCCAAGTTTATTGATTATGTTGCTCAGACTTTCTAAGTCTTTACAAAAGCTATGATCTTGTTCATTTAGTACTTGACTACTCCTAAATCAATCATAAAAATTTGGTTTTTACAGCTATTATTAGACAACTCTATTATTAAAACTGTTATCTATTTCTAGGAGGTAAACTATAATCATTTTGTTGGTTTGTTATAAGAATTTTTATCTTTAGTTCTAATTAAGACAATGCTAATTTAGAAAAATTGGCTTTTATTGCTTAATATGCAGAAGATTTATTTTAAAAATTCCACCTTTAATGAATGTCTTATTAACACATATTTAATTACATATGTTAAATAAAATTTGACAAAAAATGTTAACCAACTGCTTATGTTAGGCCCTTATGGGTAGGTTGATAACACATTTTTCTGACTTCAATTATGGCCATTTCTTTTATGGTGTGCCTATACTGCCCTTCTTGCCTTCTCTTTATGACTTGTGACTGACAATTGAAGACAAAAGCACAAGTGAGCTTAAATTCCTGCCTCCCTCAGTGACCCTGTTGATATACTCCGCACTCCCCACCCCCATCTCTTCTCTCTCCAAGGAGGATTTCACACCTGAAGCAGAGGCACACCCAGGCAACTTTGGTTTTCACTCTGCTCAGGTTTTACTCCAAGATACTCTCAACCATTTACATACCACTTTATTATCATACTTTCAATAGTTGGTCCCCGGGTACTTTCTCATTTGAAACTACTGAACATCAGAGAACACTTTTGAGACTTTCTTCTTTGAGTGTAAATTTGTCTAAGTTAAAACACTCATTCTCATTTTCTGTTTTACTCAGAGTAAGTTGAGGGCATCTCTTTGTGTCACTGGGGCTGGATATATTTTGATATCCAAAATTTGCTGGCTGAAGATTGTTTTAATGCAAACATCCCAAATACTGTATTATTGAACACTTTGTTGAGATTGTAATCACTACTCTAAAATCAAAAGAAATTATATTTTAACAGCAAAGCATAAGTGTTCACATGTAAGCATAATGCATAAAATGTATCAAGATCTCCTGTCATATCACATCAGCTTATATTTAGGAATAAGCTTGTTGTCAAAAATAACAAAATCAATAAAACCCTCATATTTTTAAAAACTCTTTGGTATGTAATATGTTGGACCAGTAGTATGACATAAAGCCCATTCCACTGATTTGCCAAAAGCAGATTTCGAGAGTGAGCTTTAATGTGCTCCTTGAATTTTTGCAGATGATCTGATCTTTAGGTATAAAAGTTGACATTGACTCACCCTCTTTAGTATTCTTCACAGTCACTGTCTTTGTAGAACTGCCCGTCATATTCTTGGCCTTTTTAGCCTGACAATGCTGTTCAAAACAGAAGTTGATAGTCATAGAATATTTAGCACTCTGATTAGAATATTTTATGCACACACACACACACACACACACACACACGCAAAAACCATAAGCAAAATTATTTATAAATTTAATTAGATATTAGAATATATCCTCTGGAGTTATCAAGGATGTACGGAAATTCCTAATCATATCTACAAGAGGATATTTTGTCCATTGAGAGAATTTTAGGAGTTTCTAGAAGGCACAATCTCAGCTGGTTCTTAAAGGTTATCCTAGAAGGCATACAGAGAAGACAGTGTGAGAGAGATGGTGAGAAAGACAGCAGCTGCTTCACAAAGCATGGCAAGGTGAGGGGTACAGCATGTCCCAAAGTCTGTGGTGTCATAAATATAAAAGAAAAATATGTGGAAAATGCAGATGACCCAAGGCCCTCCAAATATTTTAAGAAGCAGGGAATTTTTTTTAAGAAACTGATGAGCTATGAACTTATTTAAGCAGGGGTTCTACAGAGAAAACTTGTACTATGAGCAGAGATAACAAACTAAGAAAATCAAGCCTATAAAGAAGAAAACTAAGTAGCTATTGAAATCATTTCACCCAGTTAAATGCTGTCATCAGACAGTACAGTAAGCACAAAGACCTAGAGAGCAAGGTCTAACATCGGGTGAAACAGGGTGCCAGCGGAAGCTGTTCAGTGAAGAACCAAGTGGAGTAGGGCTAAAGCAGGAAAATGCCAAGTTCACTGAGGATTATTACAGATTTTTTTTGTCTTCAGGCCCAGGCATTTTATTTGGATCTGCCAGACTATACATTATGTATTTTCATGTCTGTTGGCTAAAATGCAACACTTAATCCTGAGTATTGTTTTCTTGACAATTCTAGAAATTTCTGAGCCAATACAGAGGAAGTGGGTGAGTGCTCTCGACAGAATGATGTACACGTCCTAAACTTATTCCTCTATAAAATGACATGGCACTTCTTCATGAGAAATGAAATTGAATGTTCTTGGTGAATTTTGTGGTGGATCCCTGCATGCTGCTCTGTCAGGACTAAGGGATGAGGACTCTCTTCAAGGTTTATTCCCTTTACTGAAAAAAAGTCACTTCCCCACAAAAAGAGCAGGCACATGGTGAGCAAAGGGAATGTCATTTCCATCCACATGTGACAACCCTGAAGGGCATTCTTAGCCCCTAATTCTCCCATTGGACAGGCTGAACTTTTTGCTGCAATCCCATTGAACTTGAAATTCTCCCCATTCCCTCACTTCCTAAACCTCCTCACAAGAACTAACGCTGAGAGCACCATAAAATATACTCACTGAAAAAAACGGTCCCTGTCCAAGTTTTCTTCCAACAGAGGCTAAGATAGCAACATGTTAGTATATCCAGAGCATGGCAGAAATTAGAAGCTTTCAGGGATGTAAATTGATGAATTTGACTTTTCTTTTTGTAATGCAGACATGCCTACCCTAGCCTAGCCTTGCTTTCCTGCTTTGTAGGCTCTGAGACAACGAGCAGAAGGCTTCATGCGATGGATGACAGGGATAGTCATGGAAGGGCGCCCACATGAGGACTAAGGACCCGCCCTAGCCTACCTTGGCTTGAGGACAGACTGCTGCAGCAGGGCGTTTCTTGGAGACTTGGTCTGTGCTAGCAGCAGAGGCACCAGAACAGTTTTCAGCTTGACTTCTTTTTCTTACTTGCTGTGTTTCTTTCTTCTTTGTGTTTGTCTTGAATCGACTATCAACTGAAGAAGAAGGAAGAAGGAAGAGGTGGAGGTGGAGAAGCGGAAGAGCAGGAGGAGAGGTACATTAACCTAAAATGCATGAGCAAGCATGGCTGGGACATTAGAATATCATTACCTCTCTAGAAGAAAAATTAGAAAGGTGACAGCAGCAGGGGGATGGATTAGGAGTTTCCCATCTTCAGCCCCTCATAAGAATACAACTCAGGACTATCCACAGACAAGGCACATCAGGGAACATCTCAGAATGCAACCATGGGACTGATAAAAGCTCCTCTAGAGGTTGAGAGAACTGTTTTCACTTTTAGCAATGTTATCTTCCTCCCAAGATGGCACAGTACTGTGCAGAGAATTCCATGGCCCCACACCTCCTGTGGTGAAGCTGGAGGGTGGCGGGCAGGCATGTGGCTTTCTCAGCATTATAGGATCACTGTAGAAGGCTCATTTTCACCTCATCCCATGAGGAACACTGGGGACATTGGCAAGACTGGAATTATAAGAGTCAATTAGAAATAAGCAAAATGAAGTGGGTCTCACCGTGACCAGTACATGCTCTGCCTCATGGAGTTGCCCAGTCAAAGAGAATATCCTATAGTACTTTTAAGAGGCATGCACAGCAGATCTGTTATTTTTTAATCACAGCCAATTTCCCATTCAGCCTTATCACTCTGTGTAAGGCTTCTCCAGACTTGCTAGGTGAGGGGATACACATATGCACATGTATGGAGTGCATCATCCAAATCTGCCCAGGGTACTGGTGACCCTGGCCAACCCCAGAGCAATACATCATGCTTTCTGAAGATTATAGGCAATCTCATGCACACAAATAACCTTGAAAGGAAACACCTGATTCTGCGGGCCACAGCCTATTGTGAAACTCACCCCACCCAGCCCAGAGTTTCAAAAAAGGCCTCTTGTTAAAGGCAAGTTTGTGCCCTAGTATTTTTTCAGAGTGGAGCATCTGGTCTTCCCAACCCTAGTGGCCAAGAAGTGATGCAACTGGGAGGAATTTGGGGTCCAGCCTGAGGTTCAGTGTGGGCCCAATCTGGTAGGAAAGCCTGAGATTATACATAGCTGCCTAGCATAGTCTCTGGCCTTTCCCATTCCAAGTGGCCCAACAGCACCACCCACAGCCTTTCCCAGCCTCAGAATCTAATCTATGGCCATCCACAAATAGGGATTCTAAGTATCAATGCCACCCATTTAGGATATATATCCTGTAAACTTACTTTATTAGAGACAATCACAGATGCTAGCCAGCAGCTCTACATGACTGCAAAGTCCAGTTAGTGATATATATATATATGTGTGTGTGTGTGTGTGTGTGTGTGTGTGTGTATACATATATATGTATATACATATATATACATACATATATATGTATACATACATACATATATATACATACATATATATGTATATATACATGTTACTGTTTTCTCTTCCTCAAATGTGCAAACATCAATCGCAAAACGAAAGGACCCAAAGTACAGGCCATCCAGAACCTCCAATGTTAGGACAACAGAGTTCATCTGAACCAGTGCAGAAACCATGTAAGCCAGGTGAAAGTGTGGTGATGGATTTAAGGCAATGGAGAAGAAAATAAATAACTGCTAAGGCAGAGTATTTTCCCTAGGAAACTGTCCTTCCACAAGAGGGAGACGACGTGGCCTAACAAGATGAATCTGAAGGTAAGGGCACTCACTGGCCACCAAACCCAACACCCTGAGTTCAGCCCCAGATCTCCCTTGCTGGTAGGAGAGAACTAAGTCCTGCAAGCTGTCTTCTCACCATCATATGCGTACTCTGACACACAGATGCCCCCCAACCCCCAAATTATTAGATAAATATTAAAAGGGGTTTTGAAGAGGAAGAGGTGAAAACCAGAAGGCTATAGCTCAGCTTCACCTTTCAGAACTTGCCAGAGGAGTTAAGTCTTTAAGATTAAAAGTGGAGCTAATTGATAAATAAATAAATACAAATATACAGAATTCAATGACATAAGTCATAGGAAGTCATGCTTAGAATACTATAATGGCAAAGTGTAAGGAAAGCTTACCTCTAATATAAGGTTTTAAAGAAAAATGTATTTTTAAAAACTATACCTACAATTAATTATTGTAGTAAATGTTACAAAAAAATGCACACTGGATTTAACTCTAATTTCCTAAGCCTAAAGGAGTTGCAGATAACCATTAAGAATTCAAAGGCCGGGCGGTGGTGGCGCACTCCTTTAATCCCAGCACTCGGGAGGCAGAGCCAGGCGGATTGCTGTGAGTTCGAGGCCAGCCTGGGCTACCAAGTGAGCTCCAGGAAAGGCGCAAAACTACGCAGAGAAACCCTGTCTCAAAAAACCAAAAAAAAAAAAAAAAAAGAATTCAAGTATTATTAGTGAATGAATAAGTGACTAAGTGGTTTGTAAAGTGAATGATATAACCTGCATGATATAGCCTGGGTACCCAGGTCAAGTTTTTATTTTATTCTGAAAAGGCAATCTCTTGTCCTGATTTTGATGTGACCATCTATCAAGATGGTCAATGTGTGATTACTTAAGGAACTCATGGACAAAGCAGGTCATAAGAAATTATTAGATGTGGTTTCTCACAGAATCTGAACCATTCAGGGATGTTCATTGATTTGATTTGGTTGGAAATCAAATGATTTAATGAATATAGCTAGCAGTACAGTGAGCTCTCTAGTCATATAACAAGTATGTACTCTATCCCTAAATTTCAGACAACAGAAAGTAGTTGAGTCTTGGTCAGGGATATTACTGAGACCTTTGCTCTTGTAGACATTGTTTAAGTTGGAAGCTCTGCTCCAACCTTATTCTCCCCCGATCCAAACCCTGCCCCATCTCAGAAAGCCCACCAAGTGGTGGCTTCTCCCCCAGAGCTACTAAAGACCCCGCCTATAGGGTATTTAATCTCTGGTCTGCAGACTTGCCAAGTGATCTCTCCTCTTCCTTACCCCAAGATCAAGAGGGAATGCTTTGCTCAGATTAAACCTGGTCTAATTTTGCTCGATTTGGCTTATTGCATCAGCCAAGACACCCATTACCAGGGATTCAAAATGCTTATCAGGCATGTCTAACCCATGATCTGTGGGTCAGATGAACTCAGGAAAGCTCTGAATGAAGCCCAACACAAACTTACTTAAAACCATAAACTTACTTAAAACGTTACTCAATTTTTTTTGTCACATTTTCACTCCATTTTGCTGTAAATGATGTTGACATGAGACTAATGTCAAAATGGCTAGAAATGCTTGCAAGAAGTTTAACAGATCCTCCAATGGTTAGTTCTATGAAATAGTTTTTGGTTGGTTGGTTTGTTTGTTTTTTGAGAAACATGCACATGAAAACATCCAGTCTATAGGAGAGTCCCGGGGTCCCAAGGGAATACCATGCCATTCTATCCCACCACATCAACCACACTGATCTTGTTTTAAATGTCATTTATAGTGTTACTTGGGAGACATCTGGCAGGATGTCATCTCCCTATTAGATAGTTCTCATTTTCTTTAATAATCTGATACACACTTTTTATCTATCTAACTTATCATTATATTCAAAGAATTTGGTTGCTGTATCATACTTACATGCCCTTTTTTTTTTTTCATCTGTTTTGCTGTTCAAGCCTTATCTAATAGCCTGGATCCTGTTGTAATGTTTTAATGACATTCTTTAATTTATTCAGATATCTCCATTTATTCTTCATGACGCAAGGTCATGACTAGACACAATGGACATTTAACCAGAATAAATGCTAGGTGAGACTCCTAGGAAAGAACCCAGAAATCGGCGCTGCCGTAACAGCCAGAGGCATCATTGACACAGCAGTGCTGTGCTTCAAGCAGGCTTGAAGATGCCTTCAGATTGAGCTTTTAAGCTTTATAAGAACAAAACTGACTTCTAGGTGAGCAAGCGGAGATGCCAGTCACTCCTGGGTTTTCAACCAGGTCCCAAAGTGATCAATCATTTTGAGCTAACCAAATTGATATAACGCCACTATCATTAAAACATTAAAATGAAAAACTTGGAGTAAGGGGGTTTTATATCATCCTAGCCAGAAAAAAAAAATCAGGAATAAAAATTGATGGGGGAGAGTAAAAGATATATTATCAAACTCATTCAGTTGGCTTGTCAGTAATTAAAGTAGCTATTTGGAGCAATTATGTGTTCTTACTGCCATCCTGTGGTCATATGGAAGAACTACATAGTGCTTCTAATTTCAGTCACCCTTTGAAAATAAAGTGCTTGGCATGATCAGGCCTTGCTCTAAGTTCCTCAAAATTACATAACAACTTATATCTGAATGGAATTGTATCCTTACTTCATCACGTAAACTGGATATCAATAACACTTGAGAAGCCAGGTCACTTGTGTGGCAACTCGCCTCTGCAAGGTGTTAAAATTTTGCAGCCTCTGTATTACTTAGTGTCCCCAAATTACTGCTTTTGGAATCTCTCACTTTAGGGATTCTCTTGATGAGACATTCTTTTGTTGGCTCTTATCAGTTATTCGAACACAAAGGATTCACCGATTGTTCTTAGGGAGCAATCAGGAACTTAGAAAAATGCATATAACTGGTGGAGATTGAGTAGTGGTTTACTGAATACAAACATATCCTGTGTGTCCTGGGAATTCATAGTGTCATCTATTCTGGAGCTGTAGAAACTCCATGGACTACAAGCACACAGGCTTTCTAAAGAAAGACTAACTGAGACCACTGCAGGCTGGCTCAGCACAGAAGTGAATAATCTGTGGCAAAGTTAGATGATTCTCTGGTTTGTGTGTTCAAGGCTGTGCTTTCCTGATGTTCTTGTCACACTTTAGCAAAGTGTGAAAGCCTTGCACGGACTGTGTAGTGGGACCTTGAACATTAACACTGCCATCCTGTGTGTACAGTTTCTGCAAATAGATTGGAAACAGTGGGTAGCAGCTGACATCAGAAGATGGCTGAGGAATTGGTAACACACTTCTTAGTGACTCTCAGGCAGAGAGGTGAAGGGACTGGTGATTAAGTAAATTAGTTCCCTACAGCAGTCCTGACAGCTTTAGCACTCTCATGCCATTAAAGGAGGGGCCCTTCCACATACCTGTTTTCTTTGCCTCCTGAAGAGAATTTGCAGCATTCCTATAATTCAAGTCCAGGAGCAGACGAATAGTCTTTTTCAGTGCAGTTGATGGGTTTGTTGTACTCTGAATCAGCAGGTCTGCTAACTCTGTCCTGTTTGTAGCTTCCTCCAGCTTGCTCCTCGGGATGCCGAACTTGTCTGTGACAAGGAACTTGAACCGTTTCAGCTCCTCCTCTGTGATTTGGTCCAGGCCGTTCAACAACAGTATTTTCCTATATTCACTCTCCATCTTACAGCCTCGAGATCAGCCTGCAACAAAACCTCAGCCGTAAGATTACAGCACTCTAAGCAAGTCTACATTCAGGATATGTAGGGTGAGTGGTCCAAGAAAATATCCAAGATGGTCACTAAGCAGCAAGAGAGAACTGGGTGAAATATGAAAAAAAAAATCCTATACAAGATGGTCTCCAGTGTTGGAAAAGAACACCTTCAAAGGACATGTGATTCCTCAGGAATTCTTAGAAGATGGTTTTGTGTTTCTGTCCCCTCTAAGGCATATTTGTTGAGGCATATTACATGTGACACAGTGTGTATACTTCAGACAGACAATTTGAAACTTTGACATACATACACATGAAATACTATTTATCAGTTTTTTCACTAGTGGACAACATAGTGGTGTTCTGTCTTTTCAAAATTCAAGATCAAAATTTTTTTCTCCTGTGCTCTTCTCCAGAGATTTTAAATGTCATCTATTAACTTCTGTATCTATGACCTATTTTGAATTCTTTTGTATATGCTATGAAATGCTACAAAGATCCTTTTGTCCATATGGCATGAATTTTCCCATAATCATTATCAAAAAAGACCATGTCTTCTTCTTTTGCTTCCTGCCAAAAATCACTGTCCTATGTATGAGTTGGTCTATTTAAGGATTCTTTCCCCCTGTTCATTAATTTATCTTTCTATTAATTTAGGATGTGCATGATATTTTGAATGGGAACATTCAACAAAATGAAGACGTCAGTTTTGTCAATTCACATCCAAACTACATGTAAAACCTCAAAGAGAACTTCTAAGGATGAATCTAAAATCCTCAGTGAAAAGGTAAGGCCAACAATAAACAAAATAAGTTAAAATAGTCACCAAGAAGTGTAATGCTTGCTAAATACACTTTTATAAAGATGTAATAATTAAGAAAATCAGATCATAAGTAGAGACAAATCAGCATTAAAATCATAATCACTTATACAAAGAGACATGGTGTGCAAACAGTGTGTACTGTTGTAGGATATCTGTGCACTGTGTGAAGATGTGTTTCTGTGATTGGTGTAATAAAAAGCTGAATGGTCAATGGCTAGACAGAAGAGGCTAGATGAGATTTCTGGGGAAAGATAGGAAGAGGAGGAGGAATCTAGGCATGAAGAACTCACCAACAGACTTGGAGCAAGTCTGAAATGCTGTACTCAGAAAAGGTAAAAGCCATGAGGGAGAATGTGGATTAACAAATGCAGGTTAATTAAGTTGTAAGAGCTAGTTGGGGACAAGCTAAAGGACAAATTTTCATAATGAATAAGAAGTCTCCATGTTGTTAATTGGGGCCTGGAGATCCAAAGAGTCCAACAGGAAAGCTTGGTGTACCATGTATACAAAGAGACATGGCATGGAACCAGTGTGTATAAATTTCAAGTAAAGAATGACCAGCAGTAAGAAATGTTCAGAAAAATATGTGGGGAACAATAACATTCGACTTTTATCTCACATCACAGAGAAAAGACATACTCACCTGGATTAAATACCTAAATAGGAATAGTAATACAGTTGAGAAAAACTGCTTTTTTTCTTCACTTTACATTGAGGAAAACGTTAATAAACAATGTACATAAAGGACAAGTTAGAGGAAAGACTGAATTAATTTCATTAAATGCATATTCTAAACATTTTTTTATTTTTCCTTCGTATATTACATCCTGACTGTATCTTTCCCTCCCCCAAGTCTCTTCCTGCTAAATTTCCTCATAAGAAACACAAACAAGCAAAAAAAAAAAAAAAAAAAAAAAAAAAAGCCCTGAACTGGGAAAATACTACCTTGAGTGTCCATAATTAATCAATGTCTTGTTTAGAAAATATGAAAAACCGCCTATGTGTAAGAAAATTATCCACAGTCAAGGTGAAAAGTGGTCAAAAGTTATGAATAAGCAATGTGCTTCAACAGTTGATGAAGATGTGTTAGAATATGTTTGACATTACTAAAAATTAGTTAGTGGAGAGAGAACCAGGTAGAAGAATTATGACCAAAGAGGGTCTCATGAGAGGAAAACTACTGGTCAAAGACCTTGAGGGTCCCCACCAATGCAGCCAATGTCACCGTGCTCTGAAGAGTACAGTTAATGTGGCCTTGCTCTTGTTCCTGGTGAAGGCTGGGTAGGTACGGAAGGGATAGAGTGACTCTGCTTACATGGGTGGTCCTCACACTCGAAGTCCGAAACTACCACCAGCATCCTTTCCAACGTAAGAAACACACCCAAAAGAGCCACAGTGCTGACTCTGCACCAGTGTACCTGCGCTTTGGCTAACAGGGAGGAAGGAAATCTCCTTTGGCTTAGTATGTGGAGTATACTAATCACATCAGCACGCTTCCTGCTGGTCTGTGCGAAACTTTCATCTCCCTGTACTCCTCTTCGATTAAAAAAACATAATCACATTTAATCACATTTTATATGAGAAATTAGGACACCGATCTCTCTGAAGGTTGTTTGTCTTATTTGCATACAATTTGCACTTTACTACATAATACGTCTACTTGAAAAGTTTTAGAGTATTTGTTGGGACCGAGAAGAAACTCAGTAGTAGAGCCCTTGATCACTATGCAGGAGGCTCTAGGTTCAACCACAAGCACCCCCAAAAAACAAGCAGTCAGGTGGTGTTCGAGGGTGGATCGTATGCACAGGAAATGCATTCAAGTCTGATCGGCAGCCTCATGGCCGGCACTGGTTGCAGCTGTAATTTGACAGTGCTAGGCACAATTCGTAACCAAAGTGCTCGCACCGAGAGCCTAGAAGATGGGAAGGAAAAAAAAAAAAACATATAAGCAGGACAGACAGACGTATCTCTAAATTGAGAGGATTCTTCCCACCACACGGAAGTGGCCAGTATGGCATACTTGGAAAGTATCAGCTCCACAGCAATCGTAGATTAAATTTGGTATTCAAGGTGGAATGACTTACCTGATGCCACACAGCTTGCAAAAGATGAGTAGATGGCCCAAGCGCAAGTCTTCTAAATCCAAGCCCTCTGCTCTTTCTTTTGTTAACTGCCTTCTTATTATTTGGAGAATGTGCAATGACACCTTTAAATTTAAAAAATGTATATATGTATGTGTGTATATGTATATATATATATACATATATATATATACACTCTGGAAATTTTAATAATAATATAATAATTGTCATGTTTTTCCCTGGCCAAAACCATTTATCTCTCTTCACAGGGTATCTGCATAGCTGAAAACCACCCTCCATGGATTTCTCCTCAACCTTCCCTGAGTGCATTTCATAAAAGGAACTGGCCCTGCTCTTCTCTGTTACCACATTCTGTTTCCTTTCCTTCTCTACTTGTTTACTTAGCAATCCAGTATTTTTTGTTTGTGTGTTTTAGTTCACATTCTGTGCTGGAATGGAAGTGGCTTGTGGGCAAGGACTCTGCTCTGTTGTTCATTTCTGCAGTCCCAGCTCCTAAAATAGCATCGGGGACACAAGTAGTCACCAAACATTTGTTGAGTGAGTAGGCTAGGCTTCTCTAACTAAAACCACAGCTCTAGGCATCTCCATGTTCTGGGCCATATTCGAGATGAGTATGGTTTGACTAAAAAGCCCAGCTGAAAGATAGCAGAACAAGATGGCAGCTAAATAAGGACCCCTAGCAACCATCTTCCCACGGGCCCACAGATTTTGACCAGCTGTTACAGTCCAAACTACCCTCCTAATGCCTGAAGAATCCATTTGAGAGACCATTGGGTCTAGATTTCATTTGATAACAAGAAAAGACCCATTGAAAAGACAGAAAGGAAAGATTTGTCCATGCTGACGCTCTTTCAAGTCCACGAAGTGTGGAGTTCAGAGAGAGAAGGAACTAGGTCCAGGCCCTAGACTTTAAACTCAGTTCCAGGCCATCACTGTGAAGCTTAGTACCTGCAAGAATTCTGTAACCTCTGCCCCAGGCTAGACTGAGCAACTGGAACTATGGTAGTCAGACTCCCGATTTCCCCTAGCTCACCTCCTCGGCTCTGGGTGGGGCAGAAAGATGGGTGGAGAGGACTCCAGCCACAGGCAACTGGGCACAAAAACCAGCCCAGGATTCTGCTTACTGTAGTGGGAACTAGTAGCAATCAGAAAATAAAGTCCTTTAGAGCCAGCCCACAGCTCACAGATGAAGCCCCCCACTTGCCACTTTGAATTAATCATGCCAGTGGGGCAGACTTAAGTTTGGCTAGACTGTTGCCAGCCTTGAAGCAGGCAAAGGACACCACCCTACTCAGACTACATAGTTTTCTCTGACCCAGTTTAGTGGCACCCTTGGTGGACCCTAGGCTCTCGGGTATCAGCTATCTCCAAGTTAGTGTTACCAGACAGATCATCAAGATGTGGCTGTCACCAAGCAGAGACTTGTGCCCTACTGGGATGGAGTCATATTGTGGCCTGTGCTTCTTCTACGGATGTGACATAGACCGACCGGGGTGTACTCAGAATGGGTGAATTCACCAAAAGAAGTGCAGAGAGAGAGAGAGAGAGAGAGAGAGAGAGAGAGAGAGAGAGAGAGAGAGAGAAAAAAACAAGTCATAGCTAACAGTTTGGCCACTGCTAGTCACAGATCTAGCAGCCCTTTCAGGAAGTGGCTGCTGAGGGAGGTAGCAAAGGAGAATATGTTTGTGTTCCAGAAGCCAAGAAAAGATCATTCTTAACGTAAACAAAGAACCAGCCCTGTCTCTTTTGCTTATTTGTGTTGTTGTCATGCTGGTTAAGGTGGGGACGGCAGATGTGCCATGGAATTAGCCACGTGACATGTAGAGGGACCGGGACGGAGGAGGGGAGGCAAACCCAACTCTTGCTGTAAAAGGGCCAAGGAAATTCGATAGAAGAGTCGGGCAGGGCAGGAAATGGAGAAAGCTATTTGTGCTTGCTTGCTTGCTTGCTTGCTTGCTTGCTTGCTTGCTTGCTTGCTTGCTTTTCTGCCATGGAAGAAATTAGACTGGTTTCATGCTGACGAGAATGATCTAGAAGGGAGTGGTGCATTGCGGTAAAAGCAAAACAAAAGGGAAGTTGCCCCTAGGAGTGAGCCTGAGGATGACTCCTCCAGAGCACACCTCCTGAAACAAAGGAAGCCCACTCTCCATTTCCTGTACCTGGCGTCAGCTGTGCAGGACAGACCCCCGCCTTCCTCGGGCCAAGAATTCTGAATTCTTCAAGGATTTCCAGCTGTGTTCATTTGCTGCCTATAGCTGACAGCTATATACCTAGACAGACAGAGACTCAAATCCTGGCTGTGCCATTTCCTGGTAGTGTGACATCTGGTAAATTACAACCTTCTAAAGTGTCCACATCCTCGAGTGCAAAAATGGGGGAAAGGTGATCAGAACCGTTAAATGACTGCTGTTACAATGGCATGCAACCGAATCAAGAACTGGTAACAGAACTACCTGTGAGTAATCGCTCAGTCAAAGTCAGCCGTGAATACAAAAAGTGATAGACAGGATTCAGAGGACTGATGTTTTACAATGGGTGGCAATTTAACCTGGGAGGGGAGGTGAAGGCTTTGTTAGAAAGTGGAAAAAGAAGGTGGACAGGTGTTTTTCTAAAACTGTGTTTTGAAAAGACAGAAGGGGAAGAAGAGGAGGAAGTGTGGAGGTGGGCGCTTGAGATCTTACAAGCTGAAATGAACTCACTGGCTCATTGTCTGAGCTAAAACAGAGGGCTCAGGGGCAGATGTGGCAAGTCTTGCACTGTGGGAGGAAAGGCATTTATTACTGAGAGACTCCCAGTGCTGTATGAGGGTTAAGCCACTAAGCTACTCGGCTACTGCCCTAGAAGGTATCCCAGGGACCCTGCAAGAGGGACTGCAGAAAATGTCAGTCTCTTAAAAAGGCTGGCAGGAAATCTTTAAGATGGACTGAAGCTCAAGAGAAATGAGTTCAAAAAGACTCCAGGGGACAGAGCTGAAGGAAATGTAAAGGAAATGTCTGCGTTTCAAGCTGATGTGGTTTGCTCAGGTTCAAGTCCTCAGAGGACGAGCAGCATGGCTGGTCTCCTCAGTCTTTTTTTCCTGTGGAAAAACCACAGAATTACCCTGATCCGACACTCTGCTTCACTTCCGATCCCTGGGTGCCCAGCAAGCATGTGCTGGCCTCTATCTGGCACATACAACAGGTTTTTTTACAGTACTTCTGGTAAGCCTCACCCTTTGCCCTGAGGCACCATAAAGACTCCCGGTCCATGGCGGGTAGGATCCGGCTAAGTCAGCTGAGATAGTCTTCCTTTCATAGCCACAGAAAATAATTCTTGTAGACACTTCCTGTTGATTCACCCCAAAGTTACAATGACTCAAAGAAAGAAATACCCAAGAAGCTGTAAAAAATGATAACAGAGGACAAACAGACAGGTACCGCTTGATTTCTGATCACTAACAAACATTCTCACAGTGGGTGAGGCAAGGATGAGAACTTCAGGCCACCCTGGTGTACACAAAAATTTGACTCTAAAGTCTATGATATATGCGCGTATGTGACCAAAGACCAAAACCCAACTTGTGGGAGCCAAAAACAGACTCAGTTTCCCAGTTTGAATCTGAAGTCTATTCTGAGTCAATAGAGTTCAAGCTTCCTTGCTCCAGGGCTGTGAGAAAGTCCTGATTAGCCCACAGAGTCTCCTTGAAGGGCTGTGAGAAAGTCCTACAAAGGAACACACTATCCAGCTAGACACAGGCTGCTGATGCCAGTGGGAGGTATACCAAGGTAGAAAAAAAAAACTGCCTGCTCCTTGACGCCAGGCAGGATAGACAGTGGTTGAATGCCTGTGCTATGTGTGCATTGTTCTACCTCTGTCCTTCAAAACTGTGTTTATATACAATTTTATATTTTTATTATATATTTTATAATTGCTGGCTATGAAATAAACTCCGGGCTGTCTAGCATACTGGCAGTCCTCTCCATTCTTTCCTGTCTTCTTCATTGTCTCTCCAATCCACACACCTCTACCCAGCTACCCAACTGACTGTCGGCAGGCTCCGACACCAACTAAAACAAAACCAAAAACAAAAATAAAAAAAAAAAATATTTGCTGATCTCAGAGGGCAAGCAAAAATGCATATAAAAATCCTCCATCATAACTGAGACTCCTGACCCCAAGTTTGAAGCTGTCAATGTGAGCATCTTACTTCTAATTCAATGCATCAACAGTGATGATATAAATGCTTACAGTGGTGGATCAGATGTGAGAGCATAAAAGTAAATGAGAAGGTTCTGGGTTTTGAGTAGCTACTTGAAGATATAGAAGTGGAGGTACAATTTAAAATACACAGTAATAAGTTATGAGAACAGTTCTAACAGAAGCATACTCCAGAAGCCATGAGGGTGGATGAATGTGTTGGTATTGTGTTCTCCAAAATATTGTGCACCCTAATAAACTTATCTGGGGTCAGAGAATAGGACAGTCACAATATTAAATATAGAGGATAGGCATTGGTTCCACACGCCTTTAATCCTAACATTCCAGATGTAGAAATCTCTCTGGATCTCTGTAAGTTTAAGGCCACATTGGAAACAGCCGGGTAGTAGTGACACACACCTTTAATCCCAAGAAGTAAGCCTTTAATCCCAGGGAGTGATGGCAGAGAGCAGAAAGGTATATAAGATGTGAGGACCAGGAACTAGCAGCATTTGGCTGGTTAAGCATTTGGTTGGTTAAGCTTTTAGGCTTTGAGCAGCACAGTTCAGCTGAGATTCATTCTGGATGAGGACTCAGAGACTTCCAGTCTAAGGAAACAGGATCAGCTGAGGAAATGGCAAGTTGAGGTGGCTGTGGCTTGTTCTGCTTCTCTGATCTTCCAGCATTCACCCCAATAACTGGCCTCAGGTTTGATGTTATTAATAAGACTCTCTAAGATTCCTACTACAAATGAAGAACATTTAACCATGCCCTGTGATCACACAATCATCCAGGCAATGCAGGACCCCTTTTATCTCTCTCACTGCATGACTCACCCCCATATGTCCACAGATGTACCCCTCAAACAGGACCTTATCAATGAGCCGTCACTGTGTAGCACATTCTGTACCCTGCCCTGCATTACTTT